TAAATTACGATTTTAGCTATTTTTTCCGATTTAACTCAACTTAGAATCTCTAAACCAACCGAAGAACATTCCCGTGGTTCTCCCAAGTTTCCCTATCAAAATTTGAGGCAAATCGGTCCAATAGTTTTCTGATTTATGATCGGACAAACAAACAGACAAACAGAAATAGATATATAGACTAAAGAAGACACAAGATGAATATATCATACGAAATTCCTTTCCTAATTCCTAATTCCTAATTCCTTTCCATTTCTTCACAATGTTATATGTTAAAAGTATATCAATAGAATCTATTATCATCGGTGAAAAAAATTGAAAATTTACAAGTCTCAAATAAATTCTTCTTAATAATAATAATAATTCTCAAAATATTAATTTTGCGTTTTCCCCATAAACTAATTATATACTAACATTGTTGATAAATTGTTAAATTTTTAAATTCATGGATTATTTTTGAGATCATCCATAAATTATACTTCTCCTAGGTTCAATTCTAAAATTCTTGAACATTTTTCTATTCCTTGAATATTTAACATTGATTCAATTTGTAAAATGTTGATATCTAGGTAAATCATTTAAGGAAATAGCATTAAATTAGCACTGATTATTTTAACGATTGAGAAATTAATTTCAGTCTGGAATTCAGAATCATTAGAACATGCTAAACATACAATTATTTCATGAAATATATTTTAGTATTTTCTTCTCATAAACACACCCTTCTTTACACATTGTGTGTCTATATTCACAAATCTATTAGAGATCGTTTAAAGTGACAAATATAAGGTATGGGCGCCATTACACTAATTCCCACCTCCCCCCCAAGCTAGAGATAATTTAGTTTTCTAGCCTGAAAAGTGTGTAATAGATAATTTAAATATAATAATTTAAATATCTCAATCATTCTTGACTATTCTTTAGGTTACCGTTGCAGATTTGGACATAGCACTTGAATTGAGATTTACTTAGATTTGTCCATAATCCTTTAAAACCTGAGACCTAATTTAAAGAATTTGAGCCCCGACTTAAATTTAAACCCCGGCTCAGATATGGTTGGTTCCACTTAAAATCATATTCATTGCTTCAAGATTTAAGAAACAGGTTTTTGGTGGATTTAAGACGCGGCTCAAATTCATTAAATTCGGACACTGCATGAATTAATTTGTTTTATAATTTTTTTAACTCTACAGAAGGTGTATGTGTGTCAGTGTTAGAATGTCACTTCAACAAATTTAGTTTTTTTTCTAAATTCACCAAATAATGCTTGTAAATCGGATTTGAAATGTTAACATGATTAGTAGAGAAAGAACCGAAGCGCCCAGGATTGGTAAAATGTTGTTGCTAATAAACTTATTCTAAAATTTTGAATTATTAATCAATAAAATTGTAATTAAAGAAAATGGGATTTTTTCTCATTTTAGAATTTGTATAAAATGTTCGTATTTCGCTTACCTGGGTGTTTCAGGTTTTCAGTGATTATCTTGTCAAGTTCAGATTTCGAGATAGTCAGAGGGGAAGGGTGAAGAAAGGGGTAGAGGGAGGAGTTATTTTTTTAATTAATCATGACAAATTGATAATGTTATCAACCCTCGTCAACTTATTTACGGTGTAAATATTTTCTGACATAGTTTAAAGTTGAACAGGTACTTCAGCTAAAATCATGGTTTAATACCAAGCGCGGGTAAAAGGTGGGAGTACTGATAATATAAACCTGGGAAACGCCGAGCACTCCTTAGCTAGGAAATTACTGCAACAGTTCCTCCAAATGTTTATGTGTACACTTTGTAGTCTAGAACCCTGTCTGATTGATAATTTTGTGACCAAAAGCGTCTAAAATTCAAATATTTTTAAATTCAGCCAATAATTTTTTACAAAAACATCCGTTGAAGATGAAATTCAATTGGTCGAGCACAACGGGTTAGAATTTCTTCTAATGTTAAAGATAAGATTTATGAAGAAATATCAACTACTAGCTGAAGGGCCCGGCGTTGCCCGTGGAAAAAATATTATTTTTTAAATTATCATTATTAGTTTTAACTATATATCTGTATGTTTACNATCAGCGTTTGCAATATAAATCTGGATAAAATAATAATAAAATAAAATCTATTTAAACAGCTTTATACCTTTTTATTGAGAAATATTAAAAGAGGTATCTATATTTTTCTTTTTGGAAATTTTATGAATTTTGTAAAATCCTACTTTGTCTCTGCTGCATGAATCCACAAGTTACTTGTAAAAAGAAACCGCTACAGAGTTTTCTAGTATCAATCAAAGTATATCTCTTTAGACACAATTAGGTTTGAGCGCATATTTGTAAACTGAGCTGAAAACTTTAGAATGGTGGATATCGAGATTAATGCTTGATCCTCTCTTTTTCTTAATATCGAGACTAACCTAATCTTGTACTTGTATCCTGAAACGTGTATAAAATTCAACCAATCAGAGTCGCGTATATGAAGCTGATAAATTTGAAATTTTACGCGCCAATTAGGATTAATATACAGAAACGGGAGGGACTATCTAATATTAAAAAACCGGTTTTTGATTTTTCTCTACTATATCCAAGAAAGAACGGTTTAAGAAGAAAATCAAAAGTGTGTCCATTGGATACTGTGACTAAATGATTGGGATTAAGGATATCTCATTCAAAAGTTTTCAGCTCAGGACATATAACTATGTATTTAAATGGAGGATCACCTGAAAGTACCTCGATAGTCCATAAAAGTCCCAAAATGTCGATGAAATCAAATCATCCTATGATAGATTTAATTGGCACGATTTGTTCTATTTTTTTATATTTCTAATTGAAAAAGTGAGTTCTTCAAAATTTATTCAACTTTGACATTAGAAAAAAAAGGTGAAGATGCATAGAGAATTTTATTCCTAAAAAACTTAGAAAGATAGAGAAACAGATTTATTTCCTAAATTGTCTCATGTTCTGCTTTAAATAGTGTTCAGTGTAATATAAATAATTGTTTAGGGTAGGGATATATGACAGAAGGAATTGGAGTTATTTCACGCCTATAGAAACCTACCCCTCCCCTACTACCTTCCCCTTTTCCCTACACCCTTCCCCCACCCTTTTCCTTAGCTCCTTTTCCAAACATGTATTTTTCACCCCACCTCACACACAACCCTTCTCCAAAATTCATTATAGAAAATATAAGAAAAAAAACTCAGAGGAGGAGGAGGGTCTATAGGGGCTCAGCCCCCATCCCCCTCTGGATCAGTAAAATCTATAGTTCCATGGGTCTTCAGGCCCCACCGGGTGCTGAGACCCCCCTGAAAAGAAAAAAAAGATTAACTTCCCCTTGGACAAATTACTTTGTACGCCCCTGAAAAATGTCTTTAAAAAGCTAATTGTTAATGTTATATGTCATCACGCTTTCAGTTGTATTAATTGCACAAGACAGTTGTAAATATGTTCGGCTCCAGGATCATTTAAGGATAATTTGAAACTATTAATGGGTTAACGTTCACTTCTTTTCAACTTGGAAAATCAATTAATATGTTCAAAGTTGAAATTAAATAAAACTTTATAATTACCAAAAATTGAGAAGAAAAAATATAAATATCTAAATAGTTTTCTCCACATATTCTCTTCCACGCTCAAAATTGTGAAAAGTATTAGAAAATTAATTTTTGTATTCTGAACATTTGTATTTCTTCCACTTTGTCAAATTTTATGCAAAAAACGCTTTAAAACTATTGGATTTTTTGTATGATAACAAGGCTTCTATCTCAACTTTTAATTGTGCAGCTTTGTGAGCATCTTTTTTTTGTACAGTATAAAACAAAAAAAAAACAAAAAAACGTTTGCGGATTTTATAATATTTCTTGGCGTATTTTCAAAATTTTTTTTAAAACTTTTAACAAAATTCAAATTGAATTATAAAAGTGAGAAAAAACAAGCTTGGGATAGGAAGAAGTCTGTAATAAAACAGGGAAAAAAAATAATTTTAGAAAAAAAATCTTGCATACAAATACTTTTACAAGAAAAAATCTAAAAATACGAACTTTTGAGGTAAGCAAGACGTTTAAAAAGTCAAATGGACAGACACATTTATCAAGGGCCCGTTATTTGTAAAGTGGCATCTCCAATTCACAGATACTCAATAAATCTATTCTCACTGGGCACTGTTCAAGGTTATTCATCTGTACACTGCACACTCCATGCCATTGATTTAAAGGTACCATTGTAAATGAGACATGCCTCTCTATAAATGGAGGGTCATTAGAATTACGACTATAAAAGTCTTTTAAAGAACATCTCTAAAATTTTAAGTAACTAGAAATTCAAGGCGCTTCGCGCCCTTCTTTCTAAGCTTTTAGAGCGCTTCGCGCCCATCTTCTATTTAAATTGTGAACATGTTCTTTTTGTTTACATTTAAAAACAAAAAAGATTGCGGATTTAAAAAAAAAATTCGCGGATTTTCAAGAATTTAATTCTTTTACAAAATTAAAAACCTTTAAAACACATTTTTAAAAAAATTTTTATCATTCATAAACCTTCCCTGTGGTCACGTGATGTCCCACAAAAAATTTGGGCCCGATCAGTTCAGCCGTTTTGACGTTTATTGGATACAAACAGACAGACAAGACAAATTTATATATAGATAGATATACCTTTTCGGGTTTGAATGGCATAACAAAGTTTGAATGGAATGGAGGCTTGACTTTTTATACTCCGTTTAATCGTAAAAGGCTTATGCCCATATGTGGTGTAACTTCAAGTATATAAGGAGATATATGTATATATATAAACTTATATCCTAAACTGGTGGTCGATTATAGCAATACAATAAAGTACAATTAAGTTTCAAATGTTTACAAGCTTTTCTTGAATTACAAGTTTACAAGTAATCAAAGCGAAGATTTTTGAATCGACGCCTCTCTTTGTTTCCATGTTTATGTGTATCCATGCTGTTTAAAAGCTTGATATAAATAAAAATTGAAATCGAAAGTCGTCTTTATTGTATTAATATAAATAGTTGGACCTGCTACAGAACTATACTCAGAGAGCATCTGATGATGAAACTTTAAATGTGTTTGTAAAAACCCCTTTGGTAAGTAAGTAGCTATTACACATACTGTTACTTTTGGTTAGAATAAATTATTAAGCCTGTATTGCAATATTTGAACAGCTTCATTCCGTAGAGAGACTTTCCCCAGTCCTATTTAACAAAAAGGTTTTGGTTTTCTTCCAAAAAATATATAGTTAAGTTTGAGTCGAGTTTTTATCTGAATATATTATTTCAATGCGATTGCAGAACTTTCCTTAAAGGAATTGAGTCTTTGCCACAAACTCTGAATTTATAATCCCTATATATCTTTAAAACCCAATGTCGTACATCTTAGATATTTCAAACTTATATTATTTGATCTAACAAAATTCATAGTTTGAAATGTCTAAGGTCTACGACATTGGAGTCCAAAGATATAGGGTTTAGAAAAGCAGAGTTTGTGGCAAAGACTCAATTCCTTTTTGAAAATTTCTGTTTTTATTAATTAAGCTTGCGCAGCCCTAAAGTGAAGGAACCCATCCTAAACGGATAAAACAGAATTAAATGTATTTTTATATCCATTACACAATTATAACCATGGTATTGAGTCTCATGAAAATCGTCTTTATTAAGTCTTTTATTCAGATATGTCGCTTATAAGGATTTTCAATTTGAAACTATTTTTACTTTAACAATGTACCTTGAATGTGTTTACAGAGAGGGGTCAGTTATAAACGTCAAAAATTACAACTTTGTTTATCTGCACTTTTAATTGAAACATTAGAAATGCGCGGCTTTTATTTCGTTTTGTACTGGTTATATAGAATATGTTAGAAGGTTTACCTATATTGAAATAAAATGTTTAGGAAATTGGTCCATGCTCGTTTACTGTGCCTGTAAGTTTTGGCGCCAAATTTCAAACAGGAGGTGAATTCTACTAGACCCCAGTTTTAAAATTAGCATTAATGTTATTATTTTGGGGTCCGTTTATAAACGTTTAAGGTTATTTGGCGTTTATGAGACTCTACAAAAATTTGAGATATTAAATTTTAACTTTTATGATATTACACAACAAATTTTCCCGATAAAATATCTTAACCAAAATCATGCCTACTACCCTTACATTTATTTATATATATTTTAACTTCTTAAAATTTTTTTACATTCAAGGATAATGCCCTTTTCTTTCCAGTCCCAGTTTTTTCGGAAAACATTTCAATGTTTGCTTAATTTCCTTCTTTCTTAGTTTTAATTGGTTTTAATTGGTTTTTACATAAACCCAAACATTTGATCTGCTATTTCAATGAGTTTTTTCGGTTGTCAGGTGTGTCTCCACACTTAAAATGTTGTACAATTTTGTGCTTTAAAAGTTTTCTTTCTTTCATTTTGCTTAATTTTGACTCTGACAGATTGAAGATATTGGCATTGACGATAGAAAAGTGAAACCAATAACAAACGATGAAATACTTCCGTTCTGCTTCAGTGTTTAAAATAACGGATCAATTAGGCTACGCATTACACAATGCACATTGCATAATGCATTACAATACATTGGCAAAATATGACGAATTCGACAGCTAATGCTCTAAAGGAACTAATATACAATTGCATCAAACTCTAACTTTCTAATCGACAGTTGACAGTTGCGACAGTTGACTTGAAGGTGTAGACCTTAGAATATTGTTGCGTCATAAGGTTGCAAAGATGTATGTAGGATTAAAAGAATATATTTTGCAACGAAACCCAGGGGCGTATTCAGGAATTTGTCCAGGGGGGGGCTTAAATTTTTTTCTCTTTCCATGGGGAGGCTCAGCACCCGTTGGGGCCTGAAAACCCCCCCTAAATCAATAGATTTCAGTGGTCCAGGGGGGGCATACCCCTATAGCCCCCCCTGAATACGCCTCTGATTAAGTTCCTGTTAAGTTAAGTTAAGTGCGCCACTATAGCGACACGTAAGAAGTAAAAAAGCGCAAAGTACAAATGTATACAAAAAAAAGAGCAAAGTACAAATGTATACAATAAAAAGCGCTAAGTACAAATGTATACAATAAAAAGCGCAAAGTAAAAATGTATACAATAAAAAGCGCAAAGTAAAAATGTATACAATAAAAAGCGCTAAGTAAAAATGTATAAAATAAAAAGGAACTAATTTCTGATTTATACTTTACATGAGTTGTAACTTGACTCAAGAACTAGGGTTTCTAATTTTTTTCTGGATGCATTGGTTCCGTAAAGGACCTACGGTTACTGAACATTTCCTCAATTTGTTAAAAATGATAAATCATTAAAAACTTTCATAACCGGTTTTCAAATAAATCTACTCCTAAGATGCTACATGCAGATCTAGATATGACATGCTGAACCAAGAATGTAATGCAAGGAAAGTTAATTGCTGTCGCTTATACTTTGCGTACATATTGAAACCAGTTCTCTCTGGGCGAAATTTGTAAACACGAATAGATGCCTCATGTGTTCGTATAGTATCCGAGGAGGTTAAACGCATTGAATTTTGATCATTCACATAATAGTTTCCTATGACCAGAATATTTCATTGATTATTTATGTGAAAGATGGATCCCATGTCAGGCTTCGACATCCGTCTTGTGTTTACATTACAGCCCAGTGACAGTACACTGCAGTACAAAAGATGCGTACACCTCTGAAATAACTTTCCTTGCATTAAATCCTTGGTCGCAACAGTGCACTGTTAGCAGTGAAGGATAATTTTAGATTTTTTGTTTTGTTTCACAGGAATTCCTGTTTATGGTAAAAAAGTCTACATTTACAGCATTTATGGGACGAGGTAAATATGCTGCAGTGGTCGTCATATATTTCACTACAATAACAACACTTTTTTCTCAGTTTTGATTTTTGGCACAAGCTTTCAGAAATACAACAAAGACACGCAGTAACATGTAAACAAAGAGAAATTGCCAACTTAGATGGAAAATATATTGTGTTATTTAAACATTACTGTTTTATGAAATTAAATCGAAAATATTAAATGTACACTGGCATAATTTGGTATTTTGGTAATTTGGTATGTATTGTTGGGGCCGGGTATAACCCTGGAAACATGGTCATACTTACCTCACGTGGATTTAACGATTCTGTCAATATTCCAGGAAGCACTTTCAATCACAATTTGGCCCATTAAACATAATTTTTAACCTTTTTTCTTAAATACTTTTTGTCGGCATCTACATTTTGAATGAAAATGTAAAGAATAAACATATCCATAAGTTAATGAATTAAAGACCAAAGCACGTTTGATTTCAAAGAGAAGAAACCGAATGCTGCTCTGGTTAGTCCGGGGTGACCTTGGATAGGATATGAATTATACATCTTGATAAAAAGTATACTTCCTCTGTATACTTCTATACCCCGTGCAACTGTGAATGAAATTGTTGCATACCAAGAAATAAAGGAATGTGGATTGAAATCAAATCCAAACATTTCAAGGATATGTTTCCTTCAAAAAACTTACGACGGATAAACTCAGTACGTTCAACTAATTACCTGAATTAATTGATGTCATAAAACAATAACATTCTAAAAGACCAAAGATTATTTTCTCCTAAAATTAAGATATTATCTTTTTTATATGTTTATTTATCTCTGTTGTATAAAAACTTATTTGAAATCAAGGATTTAATATAAAGTCGTCATCTGCATTTTATTGAAATTTTGGCGGACCACTGTATTTCATACTTTCTCTACAGAGTGCAGACCTTTTTTTTACCTTTTTTAAACTGTTAAACTCACAAGTTTTAAACGGAGAACACCCCTCCCCCTGTCCCCCCACCCTTCTTTGAACACTTGTACAATTTGCTAAATATTTTCGATATTAATTTTTAAGTTGTATCTCTGGGAATATGGAATCTCCTGGAAATTGGACTATTTCAAATAATTGCACTTTGCCATCAAGAGCGAGTACTTCGATGACTGTTTTAGGCAAGGATGTAATGCAAGGACAGTTATTTCAGAAGTGTACACATCTTTTGTACTGCAGTGTACTGTCTCTGGGTGGTAATGTAAACACAAGACGGATGTCAAAGCCTGACATGGGATCCATCTTTTACATAAAAAAATCAATGAAATATTCTGGTCATAGGAAACTATTATGTGAATTATCAAAATTATCAAAATTTAATGCTTTTAACCTCCTCGAATACTAAACAAACACTGATGCATCTATTCTTGTTCACAAATTCCGCCCAAAGAGAACTGGTTTCAATGTGTACTGCAGAGCATACACGACCGCAATTAACTTTCCTTGCATTACACCCTTGGTTTTAGGACGATATATCTTGAGTACTGGAAGCAGGTTAGATATGAAAGACTTATCATTCGAGGGCTAATTTTACTAATAATTGAATATAATAATGTTGGTATAAACATCTGCATTCTAGTTCTTTAGAAATCATGAATTTCCGACGTACCCAGATTTCATACTTTTTAAAGTTGTTTTTTGATTTCCTATTTTATTTCCATCCTCACTATTGTTGTTGTATAGTTCAGTTCAAATTGAACGTTTTGATGGGAACTCTTGGACAACCCTGAACAACAATCTGACAAAACAAAGAGATCAGACCTGCTCTGTAGCAATAAGGTAATATTTTCATTTATTGAAATTACTATCTTGGAAAATGCACGGGAGGTTGGTTTCAACCGACTTCTTTGACCCAAACTTGCTACAGAGTGTCACATCTCTGGCGTCAAGTAAAATTTGTGGAATATACATTTCATAGATACTTCTACAATGATAACCAGAAAACTCCAGAATATGAAGACGACTTTAAGAGTCAAATTATGAATTTACATAATCCAATGAGCATGAGACACAGAAAGTGTGCAGTGTAAACAGGCCCATTTCACTTAATAAGTGTCTTGTAAAACTATGTGATTTTAACAACATAAAATACACTTAAGTATTGCTGTAAAGTCGTCTTCCTATGTCAGCGTTTTCCTGTTATCACTGCAGTTCTAGAACTATCAAAATTTGCAATGAAACCTTGACTTTTCACTTATTATTGGTACAGTGAAATTAAAAATTTATGGAAAAACCAGATTAGAAAATGATTTAGTAGTCATTTTTGGTGAACTGCAACCCGCTATTTTGAATTACAGCTGCCAGCCTGCTGGAGCTTAGACAGGAAACATTACATAGACTCTTAACAACCTTCTTATTTGCGTCACAATAGTTTCTATAAAAATCTAAACGATCAATCAGTTTTTTCTCCGACCACAGTTATCCTTGAAAAGTACCAATACAAATGAATAGTTAATCGGCTATTTAGTTTACCCTGAATTATCCAAATAAGTGAACGGTCCCTTTAAATATGTATACAAATCTGATGCAAACGGAAACTTTTACTAATAGCTAAGAATTAATATGTATATCTAAAAACATTACACTTGACAAAAGGACTGATTGCTCGCCATAAATTATAATTTTCAAACCTTTGCAACCATGCTGTAGTAGACCATTCATATTTCAAACCTTTGCAACCATGCTGTAGTAAACCATTCATATTTCAAACCTTTGCAACCATGCTGTAGTAGACCATTCATAATTCAAACTTTGACTATTTGAGAAAGAAGAATTCTTAGTTTGAAGTATGATATGTCTACAAAAGGAAGTTATAATACGACATCTATCTGCAAAGAAGAAATTAGAAAATTCAGATTCTATTTTTTGTGGAGGGGCAATATTTTAAAGATATAAAAATTCCATCCATATCCTAATGAAAAAGTAGATTTGCCCTGTGTAAAAAGTTTCTAAAAAAAAGTCCTGGATACCAGGATCAGCTGTTCATTGTCATGAAATTGAACATGGATGCATCTCCAAGTTTCAAAACTATTTAGTAAATAGGACTCAATATGTTTGTATAAATGGTATTTTTTCTAAAGAAAAAACAATTTTATGTGGTGTTCCTCAGGGAAGTGTTCTTGGGCCCCTACTTTTTCTCATATACATAAACGATTTGCCTTTAGCAACGTCTTTTTTTACTAATCTATTTGCTGATGACACTAGTTTTCTAAAATCATCTCCACATATCGAAACTTTAGTAATTGATGCGAACTTTGAACTAAAAAAGGCAGCTACATGGTTTCAGGCAAACCGTTTAACACTAAATGTTTCCAAAACAAAGTTTATGATATTTAGGAATAAAAATATGCATTTTAATCCTGAGAACTGCAAATTAAAAATTGGAAATGAGATACTAGAAAGAATAGGAACTAACTGTACAAATAAATATTTCAAATTTGTTGGACTCAAAATTGATGAATTTTTAAATTGGGACTATCAAATTGAACATGTTTCCAATAAGATTGCTAGCTCAATTTTTGCTCTGAATCAGATTAAAAACATTTTACCGTTAAACATTCGTCTACTAGTCTATAATGCACTTGTAAGGCCACATATTGAGTATGGAATTATAACATGGGGGGGTGTAAAAAATGCTAAACTACAGAAAATCAAGTCTTTGCAAAAAAGGGCAATTAGAGCAGTAAATAATAGTTCATTTAAGGCACATTCAGATCCAATATTTTTCAGATTAGAACTCCTAAATCTTGATGATACATATAAACTAGGTGTTCTATCTTTTATGCATAAATACTTTTATGAAAACCTTCCAGCTTCCTTCCAGGATATGTTTAATTCTTTAGCTGAACCAAATAGAACAAAATCATATAAACTTGAACGAGTTCTCTTTAAAACCCTAGAATGTTTTCCCTCTGCCTTATTTCCAAAAATATGGAATTCGATTGAATTAGAGCTTAAAGAAACTAAATCTGCAAAATCGTTCAAAAGAAAAGTCGCCAAGATCTATTTAGATAGTTATGCAAATTATATCTGTAAAAAAAAAACTGTGTATCATGTGGATAAACTTAGTCTTTACTATCTTCTTCACCCTGTAGTTCATAAACATGATTCTAATAACTTATGTTACCTTCTGTTCCAACCCTCCAAGCCGAGTATCCTCCCTTTTCTTTATACTCCCTGACCTCCTTCTTACCTTTTACCTGATTTATTATCATTCTTATGTTTAAAATGTACAATGTACATTGTTTTTATCTGCAACTCTCATTAGTTTATAGTGGGCCAACCAATTAAAACAAACTAATCTGGTTAGGCGGGTCCAAACTACATAGTAAATTATGATTTTTTTATTTGTATTATCTCGTGCTTTGTAGTTGAATAAAAATATGAAGTAGTTTACCAATCGAATTCCTTAAATCACACTGAAAGGCACACTGATCAGTGCTTCATTGTGGTTTACGTTTCTTTAAAATTGTTGCCTTAGTAAAAACAAAGGTCTTGTTTCTTGCTGGGTTCCTTCTGGGCCCTAAAGATGTGCAATTGTTATTATATCACTCTATAATTTTTTCTAAAGTGATACGGAAATGATATTACTCGGAGGATATAACGGTTGGCGTATGAGCCTTGTGGAAAAGTATGATGTCAATGGAAATCTTGTTGAGACTCTACCAAAAATGAATAAAGCAAGGTATATAAGATAATCCTCTCGCGCAGTTTTTAGCCGTTTAGCATTTTTAATTCGGTTGAGACCATAGGAATAATAATACCCTTTTTTAAATGCATAGGATGCATAGATGCATAGTTTATATACATTTTATATATCGTTAACGTCATAAATTCATATATACCATGAAGCATAGGATGCATAGATGCATAGACTTATATAAGAAATATATACAAGTTTATATATGGCTGCATAGGATGCATAGGATGCATAGANTGTTATTAAATAACTATTTAATTCCTTACAATTACAAAAGACGACATTATGAAACGACAGCATTTCTGGAGAAGACGACCTTTGTTACGATCTTTTATTACCCCAGAAAATGCGTCAAATTTGCGTAGATTTTCTGATGCGCTATCTTTAATTAGCAAAGTCTTTGATCTATATATATATTATCTTTGATACAAACGGACAAACAAAAAGACATCATTAGTATAATCCGGGGCGGGCACAGGATTGCAGCCAAGGGGACTAGATTTTTTAGGTACATATAAACAGGCACAAAAATTCTGAGGAGCTTTAATATGGGCCCACGATCACCGAGTGAAACGTAGCGAGCAAGGCGGAGGGTAGATTTTTTTTGTAGTTTTGGTAGTAAAACTAGTAATTTTAGCTTGAATTTTATGTTATGTATTATATTTTTTTATTTTTTAACAACGTAAGTAATAATTTTAGCTTGAACTTAATGTTAAAGTGAAAATTCGATTTTCCCTGAATTGATACACAGAAAGTTTTTATCTCAAATTTTACAATGTTGGGTGACATTAAATGTTGATAATTTCGATATTACTACGTCAGAGGGGGGGGGGTGCAAAGGTACCACCGCCCCCCCCTGTGTCCTCCCTTGAGTATATTTATAGATAGATCTAGAGTTGTTGAGTTTTTTATTATTCTTGTGAATTATGCAGACATGTAATGTCTTCTAAAGGCTGGCACTGCAACGGTCTGGACTAAATATGAATCATTTCATTTTTTAGATCTAGCCCTGGATGCGCTATTTTTAAGAATGAACTGTATGCTGTAGGAGGATGGAATAACGGGTATAAAAAGAATGTTTTGGAAAACTATTCTTTTAATAAAAATCAAATACTAGTTTTACAGAGCACTTTTTTATCAACAAAGGGATTGAGTGTCTGCTACAAACATAAATTTTCTAATCCCTGTATGTTTACAAATTTTCATATTTTAAATTTCAGATTATTTGATCTAAAAGAATTCATAGTATGAAAAGATGTAGCGATTAGAAAATCTGAGTTTGTGGCAAAAACTGAGTTTCTTTAGTGAATAAATGTTGCTCTTCAAGTTGCCCATATATTTTCCAAAAATTTTTCTGTTTAATTTGGTACATTTTTTAAATAATTAATGTCCGACCAAGTTAAAAATTTTCAATTTTGACAATCCACAGGCCCTCCCTTGCAGTTGCAACAAAAATAGATGTTATCTTTTCCACAAATTCAGAGTTGCTAATCACTATATTTTTGTAACCTGGTGTTGTAAACCTATAATATTTTAAACTTAGATCATTTTATCTAACAGTCTACGACATTGGGTCAAAAGATCAAGGGATAAAAAATCAAAGTTTATGGCAAAGACTCAATTCCTTTGGGCACGGGGTGCAACCTTTTGACGTTTATTTGTCACAGACAGACAGACAAGCAAAATATAAAATAAAAATTGATAATTTTGGAATTACTTTGCTCGAAACCCTCATTCCAAGATAATCAACTTCAGGTTTGGCGAACGATTAAAAACTATTGGATTTTTTTTTATGATAACAAGGCTTTTATGGCGCTTCGCGTCCATCTTCTATTTCAACTTTTTATTGTGGCTTTATCTGTGAGCATCTTTATTTGTACAGTATAAAACAAAACAAAAACCAAAAACGTTTGCGGATTTCATAATATCTTTTGGCGCATTTTCAAAATTTTACAAAAATAAAAAACTTTTAAACACAAATTTTTAAAATTATCATGTATATATTTATATATGTATTTAATAAAAGCAAACATAATGCAGTTTTGAATTTTTGGAATTTTTTTTAAACGATCCAAAACGATTAACAAAATATATAAACAAAAACTGTTTTTACAAAAAATACCATGCAGTCGCTTTTTTCCGGTAAAGAATATGTTTTTTTAATTAACGAAAAGTTCTGTTACATAGTTAAAAACAGACGAGGGGTTATTCCGTTTCGTAAATCAAACAGGAAGTCCAACTGATTGAATAATGCGCTAAGGAACAAAATTCAAATCGAATTATAAAAGTGAGAAAAGACAAGCTTGGGATAGGAAGAAGTCTGTAATAAAACAGGGAAAAAAAATAATTTTAGAAAAAAAATCTTGCATACAAATACTTTTACAAGAAAAAATCTAAAAATACGAACTTTTGAGGTAAGCAAGACGTTTAAAAAGTCAAATGGACAGACACATTTCAATTAATAAGTGATTTAATAAGTTACGTCCATATTGAAAGTTGTATATTTTTATCTTAAAGGAAGTTGTCTCTTAATAGGAATAGTACANAAGGAGTTGAGTTTTTGCCACAAACTCTGATTTTCTAATCTCCATATCTGTGTAATCCAATGTCGTAGACCTTATATATTTCAAATTATTAATACTTATAGATAAAATAATCTAAGTTTGAAATATCAAAGGTTTGCCCCATCAGGTTGCAAAGATATGGGGATCAGAAGATTTGAGTTTGTGGCAAAAACTCAATTCCTTTCAAGTGACTCTCCATTTTAAGAGAGGCATGTCCGATTCACAACTGTGCTTTTTATCCTTCTTCTGAACTGAAAGGATGGAAATATCCTTGGTTTTCTTTCTGGAAATTTATAATTTTCAATTGTGGGTTCTCTTTAAATGTGGATTGGGCATTCAACTCTTAGGTATCACACGAAATTGCATTGACAGTTTCTTTAAGTGAAATTATGCAAGATCAAACATAACACAAAATATGACAAATTGATTTTTTTGTAAACCCTCAACACAGTAAATACAAAATATGCAAACATAAATGCAAAATTTTCATAACCTTAGGGAACCATAAAGAAAAACTGAAGTTTTTCTTGTTCTTTTTTTATTTACATTTTAATTTAACACATTTGGTGTAAAAATTTTTATAAATGTTTGTTCCTCTTATTGTAGATTTATTGACAAGAACAAAAATGTTCTTAATTTCTAATATCAAACCCCGGATAAAATTGATTTTCTCATTCTTATCCGTAAATAAAACTTGAGGAACTACGAGGTCACAAAGTTGTATCAGTAATGTCACATAAGTATAATTTTCTTCTTCTGTTTAGTTAGCAGTGGATAATTAATACAAATAATAGAAGAGGGGGTGCAGGAGAGTCCATAATATTTAAATGGTTTAAATATTTAAATGTTTAAAGCTATAAAACTTCTTTATTATAACCTAATAATGTCATGGAGTGGACCAAAAGAACCAATGCAATCTATTATTAACAGTAAGAACTTTTTAATTTGGAATTGGAGACATGCACTTAATTTGATTCCACTTCAACCAAACTTTTAAATTGTTAGAGATATATTATGTATTAATCATGAAATATTTCCAATTTGGACTAAATAGTTATTTTAGGTGTTTTGATTGGATTGTGTAAAAGCTAATCAAAGGGGGAAGAATTATTTATTACAGGGGCAGTGTTTATATCAGTACAATGATGACAATTATATAATTAAACTTTATTTTTCAACAAGTTTTATTTAGTAGAGACAAATATACAAATCTGAGAAGTTTTACAAAGGAATTGAGTCTTTGCCACTAACTACAATTTTATAATCATTATATCTTTGTAACCCAAGGGTGTAAACCTTCGATATTTTAAACCTAGATTATTTGATGCAACAGAATTCATAGTTTGAAATATCAAAGGTCATCGGGTACAAAGAATTAGGTATTAAAAAATTAGAGTTTGTAGCAAAAATTCATTTCCTTTCAATATTGTTTATCCTAAACGTTTGTTTTTCTTACACTATGTAAAAAATTTACCGAAATAAACGAAAACGAAGACGAAAAATAGTTAATTTTAAAAGAAATAATAAAAATATAAACAACCAAAAACGATCATTTTCTACCGATTGTTTCAACCCTATTCCTGCGGGGGGGGGTCAATTTGACCCCCCTGTAATTTTTTTTACATAACTCAAAAAGTATTGGTCTGAGGCTGTTGAAATTTTCTGACTTTTCCTACATGCCCAAAGCCATATCCANAGCCCTCCCTTTAGGCCTAAAACCGGGCTTTAATACTAACTGCAAATTTTTTGCAAACAACCTGTCAAAGGAAATTTTCACAATTTTAGTTTTTCTTGATTAAAAATCAGGTTATTCAAAATTTTGCAAAAATTTTTGCATATTTGAAATGGCATGGTCAAGGGCTTTACAAATGTATAATTTTTCAGTTTTTGGACAAATTTTTCTTTGCAAACATTTTACTATATAACTGGATTTTGCGATAAAAAATTCAATTTTTGCAAATTTGCAATTTTTTTTTGCAGATTCTAAAAGTAAAGCACAAGAGCTTTCCAATGATGTATCATTGGTCATATTTGGACATCAAACATGGGATTTAGAGGGGGGGGTCAAATTGAACCCCCCCGGCCCAGCATATCCTGCATATCCAGCAGAGATAGGGTTAAATGATGGTTTTTCCTTCATATTGCAAATACTGCAAAGTTTTATAACAGCAAATTTTTAAAGGAATACAGTTTTTAAATGTTCACAGTTTTTGTGTGGTGCCTTTCAAATATCCAAAAACCCTCAAAAACGAACCAAGCACTAATTGCAGGGATACGATATACAAAACCTTTAAAAATAGACTTAATTCCAGAAAGTTTTTAAAATAAATTATTAATAAAGACTTTAAAAAATCGAAAGCTCAACCTCAATTTTTAG